ACTGTTCTCTTCTCAGACAGTCTGTCCTGGTGGCCACACTGTCCAGAAAGCAACTGGTGACCGACTGAGAGCCAATGTCTCCATTTGCTGCAGAGGGGAGGCGGGGGTGGGGGGGGGGGGGTGGGGGGGGAATCGAGAGGTAATATACTGTTTCCAATAATTTATTCCAATTGCTGTTTCTGCCTTTCACGTCAAGCCACAACATTGAACTTACTTGAAACGACAGAAAGGAATGTGTGCGCGTGACGCACTTTATTTATAAAGATCGTTGTTTGTGTTTTTAAAAGCGGGACTTTTAATTTCTAAAAGATGCAAATAAAATGCGGTGCAACTGAAAGAAAGGCTTTTGTTGGCGTACCACTCACTGTCGCGGATCGATAAACAACGACAGCTTGCACTTATGCAGCTCCCTGCGCAACTCGGTAGGATCTCGGAGCACTTAGATGTAAGATGCAGAAGAAGCGCACAAACGAGGAGAAATTTACAGCACACGGATGGAGGCTGTTCATTCATTCAGCCCTTCCTGTCTCCGCTGTGAAGAGGGAAGATGCTCTCACAACAACAACAACAACAAGATTCCATTTATAGAGCGCCTTTCACGTCGGGAGGACGTCCCAAGGCGCTGTACAGTTGGGTCAGGACCCGAGCAGGGGGGAAATGGTCAGGGGGAGGGAAGGGAAGGGAGGGAGCGAGGAGAGGGTAGAGAGTCGAGAGGGGAGCTGAAGGCTGAAGGTCAAAGAGAAAGGTCTTGAGACCGACCTTGAAGGAGGAAAGGGAGGAAGCGGCGAAGGCACTGGGGATGGACGTCCAGAGCCTCGGGGCTGAGAGGCTGAAGGCCCGGCCACCGATGGTAGGGCGGTTGGGGCGGGGGATGTGGAGCAGACCGGAGCCAGAGGAACGGAGGGTACGGGCGGGTAGGTAGGAGGATAGTATGTCGGGTAGGTAGGAGGGAGCGAGGCCGTGAATGGCCTTTTAGGTGAGGATGAGGATCTTGAATTTGATCCTCTGGGGGATGGGGAGCCAGTGGAGGCGAGCGAGGGTGGGAGTGATGTGGTCCCGAAGCCTGGTGCGGGACAGTACACAAGCTGCAGAGTTCTGAATGACCTGCAGTGTGGAGGGAGGTGCCGGGAAGGCCGGCGAGGAGAGAGTTCCCATAGTCCAGCCTTGAGGTGATAAAGGCGTGGACCAGAGTTTCAGCCGCCTGAGGGGTAGTATGTGGGGAAACAAAGACAGTGTGTGGGGAAACAAGATCAAGCTGGGCGGATACCAACTTGGGTGAAAAAGGATGAAAAAGATGAGGTGCTAAAAGCTGTCCCCAAGTGGCAATGATAGACAAAGGACAATCCAATGAGTATCAAATGGGAAAGAGCCGAGGAACAGACTCAAATGAAATTGCAATAAAAGGTCCTTCCACCTCACAGAGCGCCTACCATTGTGATGTCTCACAGCACTTAACTGGCGACCACTGTCAAAATTTAGGGACCATTTAGAACTTTGCAGCACATAAGGAGGCCATTCGGACGGACCATCGAGACTGTAATGATTCTGAACTAGCTTTCAGTTAGGTTCGTTCCTGCCCACCGATGGGACATTACACTTACAGTAAACCCCGTGAAGCGCTTTGAGGTGTTTTCCTGACCTGAAAAGTGCTGTGTCAAATGTAGGGATTATTATTGTTGTTATGGTTCAGTTGCTAACTCCACTATAGAAACAGCTGGCTTCTTTGGCTCACCTCCCTCTTCAAACTCTGACCTTGACTGTTGTGATAAAGTCTCTCCTTTCATTGCTCCAGTCTGTTCTCTTCGTTGGTCCACTTCCTTATCTCAAATAAAACATCAGCTCCCAGTGATTATCCCTTTTTTAGTCCCACTAGAGACAGCCTCAGTAAGTGCCCTGTCCTTTGTCTTGTCTTCAGCCTCTTCTATTCTGCGTCCCCTTGTCCTTCTGCTTGGAAATTTAATCATTTCATTGTACTTCAAAGTCATAATTTCTCCGGTCACACTCCGCTCGTATCTCCTTACCTCTTATCAAATGCAGAGGTTATTATTATTATTATTATCATCATCTTTTTGCTTGAGCCACACAGGCGCTCTAGAGGGAATCCGCTGGATGTGCTGAGGGTTATAGTGGGATCCAGGAACCGTGAATTTCCAAATAGCGTAGGCCCAACACCACAGCAGTAACCTTTGCTTTGCCAACTGGCGGCTTCTCAGTGGATTAAAGTTGTGTTTGGCTCCAGCCTTATCCACAGAGGGAACATTGTGCAGCAGGTCAGTGTGCATCGGGTCACCGCTCATCTTGCCCCCGTTATATTTAGTAGAGCGCACAGGACTGCATGGTTGGCTCAATTGATCCACCTATACAGTAGTTGCTGTACTGGTCTTATGTCTTTGATGCTGGAGGCACCAGTTTCAAGTTTGGCCCAAATGTTTGGGCTGAATAATTGCACTGCCCCACACTCAGACGTGAGCAGTTTCTTCTGAAGCCGTTCGGTTATACATTACGTCTCTTTCTCTCTCTCTCTCTCTCTCTCTCGTTCCCCCCACTCCTACCTCACCCCATTTCACTGAGAAATGCAGGGAAGGCAACAAGAGGCTCAGGTCTATTCTGGGCTTTTACGTCCTCTTTCACTGAGAAAATAAAACTAAAAGTCTTGAGTCACCAATGAGCGCCCGTGGGGAAAAAAGCTTTAATTTTGAAATCAAGATACTTACATGGAATTACCTGGAGTGAAATGACACGGAACAGGTCATTCACCCCAACTAGTCCACACTGGTGTTTCTACTGCTCCCACAGCCCTCTCCTGTGCCCCTCTATTCCCTTCTCCCTCATGTGTACGTCACGTAACTTGGGGAATACATTTACAGCTTTATGATAGCTCCAAACCAGTCAGATAGTGAACCTCAGTTATTGTTAAGATGTACTTCGGTTGGATACACAGCAACAACAACAACAAGATTACATTTGTATAGCGCCTTTCACGTCGGGAGGACGTCCCAAGGTGCTGGACAGTGTACAGCATTTCAGACCCGAGCTGGGGTCAGGGAGGGAGAAGTGAGGGGAGGGGAAGGGGGGTGGCCGATGGCATGGTAGAAGAGGAGGGTCTTGAGGCAGCACTTGAAGGAGGCTAAGGAGGGGGCGAGGCGGAGTGACTGGGGGATGGAATTCCAGAGGTTGGGGGCAGAGTGGCTGAAGGCTCTCCCGCAATGGTGGGGCGGGTGGGTCGGGGGATGTGGAGCAGGTCGGAGCCAACTGAGTGGAGGGAGTGGGCGGGTTTGTTAAGGGGTTAGGAGATCACAGAGGTAGGGTGGGGCAAGAACATGGAGGGCTTTGTACGTGAGGACCAGGATCTTGAACTGGATCCTCTAAAGGATAGGGAGCCAGTGGAGTCAGGCAAGAGTGGGGGAGATGGGGTCACGGCGTTTGGTGCGGGAGAGGACATGGGCTGCAGAGTTCTGGATTATCTGCAGCCTGTGAAGGGAGGAGTTGGGAAGGCCGACAAGCAGGGAGTTTGCATAGTCGAGCCTGGAGGTGATGAAGGCATGAACAAGAGTTTCAGCGGCCTGAGGGGTGAGGTAGTGGCGGAGTTGGGTGACGTCACGGAGGTGAGGGAAGGCAGAGCGGGTCATGGCTTGGATGTTGGGAAGCAACAGCAATAAACTGCATTTATATAGCGCCTTTGGTGTCGGGAGGACATCCAAGGCATTGAACAGTGAAGGGTTTGCACCCGAGCTGAGGGGCTGGAATCAGGAGGGGTGAAGATGGGTGGGAAGATAACCGAAAGCGCAGTCAAAGAGAAAAGTCTTGAGACAGACCTTGAAGGAGGCAAGGGAGGGGTGTGAAAGATACAGTAAAGTGTATACCAGATGAGCCCAAGAGCTCTCCATGGATCAATTGAGTCCAGGGATGCACACCATTCCTGTGGTTCCCATTTGACCACAGTTCCTGTGCAAATCACAACTGGAAAGGAACTGCAGGCATTCAGTGAAAATGACAAATTTTAATGTGGGGGGGGGGGGGTGTGGGTGTGAAGGAGGAAAGGTCATCAAGGACACTGGGAGAAATCCCCTTCGCTTGGGACGTCCTCCCAACATGAAAGGCGCTTTACAACAAATGTAATTTGTTCTTTGTTGTCGTTCACATGAAAGTGCAGCAAAGTCGCTGATCAAGCTGTTGAGACACGCTTGAGCCCAAGGATACAATTAAACTGAGAAGGCATTTAGGAAAGATTTTGTTTCCGGTCCCTGGAAAAGTTGTTGGAATGCTCCCCCTTGTGGCTCCACTAATACAATAATAATAATAATAATAATGGGTTGTTTTGTGGTCGAAACGCACTCGGCCCCACACTCCTATCTGTAACTCTTTTACATTTTTTTCTTTCCAAATATTCATCCAACTTTTAAAGAACAACAACTTGCATCTATATAGCGCCCCTCACGCTGGGTAGCGTCCCAGAGCGCTTGACAGTGTCGGAGCATGACACCGAATCAGAGGGAGGGGAGGTGACCGTAGGCATGGTCGAAGAGGAAGGTCTTCAGGCGCGACCTGAAGATGGGGAGCGAAGGGGCAAGGCAGAGGGATAGAGGAAGAATGTTTTAGAGTTTCGGGGAGTAATGGCTGAAAGCACGGCCCCCAATGGTGGATCGGAGGGCATAAGGGACGCGCTGCTTTTATGTCTTGTTTTATTTCTATTTTGTCTATTTTTACCTTCTCTAATCCCAGAGGCAATGAAACCAATTCTATTGTGCCAGACGTTACCCCGCAAAGTTCACCAAACAGGTTAAAAGCCAATGGAATAGGTTGCCTATGGCATGAAGCTGAAACCAATCCCATGAACAGCTTCCGTGTTGAGCTACAATAATAATAATAATCATCCTTACATTTGATGTAGCGCCTTATCACATCTTCGAAACGTCTCAAAGCGCTTCGCAGAATATACTGTAAAGTGAATTGACTGTATATTTTGATTGTTTTGCAACATTGGTTTTTCCACACTTGAGGTCAAAAAATAAATACCCTGAAAAAGGGTGCGGGAGTGGAGGGGGAAGAAAGAAGGAGAAGGAAGAAAGAGGAAACTACACTCCGATTCAGGAACACAACTGTTAAACTCTGGGTGTGTCCTTACCTTAAAGCAGACAAACAGAGTGATTAAAACATTGAGTCACAGGACAAGAAAAACCTGATTGGGCAGTTTGCCTTGTGACGGGTCCATTCTCACTTGCTGTTAGGCTCATAGACTTCCAGAGCGCTTGGCTGGTTAATATTTAAGCAAGGAGAGGGCGAGTGAGAGAGACAGACACATCCCTGATGTTACAAAGCTTAAAGACTGGGAGACACACGAGTTGCTGATTTGACCCGGCAGATCGTCTGAAAAAATAATGAGCACGACAGCGATAAGGAGGAAGCTGGTGATTGTCGGAGACGGTGGCTGTGGCAAGACAAGCCTGCTCTTCGTCTTAAGCAAGGATGAGTTCCCTGAAGAATATGTCCCGACCGTGTTCGAGACCTACGTGGCTGATATCGAGGTGGACGGGAAGCCGGTGGAGCTGGCTCTCTGGGACACGGCTGGTCAGGAGGATTATGACCGCCTACGGCCGCTGTCCTACCCCGACACGAACGTGATCCTTGTCTGCTTCTCGCTGGACACACCCGACTCCCTGAGGAACATCCCAGAAAAGTGGATGCCCGAGGTGCGGCACTTCTGCCCCGGCGTGCCGGTGGTCTTGGTGGGCAACAAGAGGGACCTCCGGAATGACGAGACGGTCCGCAAGGAAATGGCTCTTGTGAAGCAGGAGCCGATCAGGTGGGAGGATGGCAAAGCCATGGCGGAGAAGATTGGAGCTTACAGTTACCTGGAGTGCTCGGCCAAGACTAAGGAAGGCGTCTGGGCTGTGTTCGAGACGGCAATCAGGGCGACCTTACAGGGCTCAGACGCAGAATGTGTCGATTGCCACTGTGTCCTGCTTTAGAGCCACTCACACAGAGACTGGGAGCAGAGACTGAATTTCGCCAAAGGATGGAACAAACAATCAGTCAGTCACCTTGAGTCCGAAGAGATCAGAAACTCTTTGGACAATTGTCTTCACAAGGTTCCCTGGATTCGAAAAGAAGGATTTGGTTTGATTTTTATTGAACAAGAACCCCACAGCTCAGTGGAGGAAGGTCCCCAGGTAGCGCCAGTGACTGTGTTATAGAAGAGATTAACGTCCGTCCGAGCAAAAATATCTAAAACAAAATTACATGTCACATTGGTAATTATTTTGCCTGCTGCCTCCGAGCTGAATGTGTGTGAATTCCAGGTATTTATGTACGTGTGGTTCAGGGGTGTCCTTAAGTTACGTTCGGGGTACAAAAAATGTTCTCCGATACGGGGAATGGGTTCCATGCTTTTTGGGGCAAGTGAAAAATAATAACCCTGGCGTTTGATGTAGCTTGCGACTCCGATAATATAGGTTTATACAACGCCTTTCAGGTTGAAACGTCTCGAGGAGCCTCAGAGGAGTTTTTCCTGGTGGGACTGTGTCATTGTAGAAATGTCAGTCAAGTAAATCAGTCAGTCAATCAGTCAACAGACTGGGATTTGAACCCACAGATCTGAATGGCCCAGTTTACTCGTCAGGCTATAAGAAAACACTACCAATTCTCGTTACAAAGTGCATTTAGTCCCCGAGTCCACTGAAAGGAATGATCAGGTTTTTTTTGTGTGAACAAGACCCAGTCGGATTTTAAAAGGCTTCAAATTCTGCTTTAATACCTTTTAAGTGCACCTGTAGTACTTTCTCCAGGGTGTTTTGATCAAAAGGAGATAAACAAAGATTACAACGATTTCCGTTTGGGGGGAAAATAAGACCCTTTTCCACCAACGAAAACCACATGAGAGGAAAGGTTTGTTCCCTTTTGTTTTGTGTGATTCGGATCAGATTGAAACCATTTTTTTCAAAAAAAAAGAAACAAAACAAAATCAGATTAACTTTCGATCTAAAGAATGACTTCAAAGATAAAAGACCTCAAGGAGAAATTCCATTGGATTTGACTTTCTAGAGCTTGGCGAAGTCTTTCATAACAGCCTTGGGTTCGATGTGGGTGACTTTCTTTCAAGCAAGAAAATCTTAACTTCAAAGTTAAGAGCGAACTCAACGATTTGGCGAGTTCTGGACACTTTAAAACGCGATTTAAACAGCCTAAACTCAGTTGAATCTTTTACCCTCCAGCTGTCCTAGACACAGGCTGAATAGCTAAGCTTCTGCCCGCATAGACATCCATATTTTCTGGGGTCTATGCCTCACCAAGGCTGGGTAATGATGGGTGACATGGCTCTAAATGGCTGATTATCCTCTCGTGACCCGGTGACTGCTGCTATTTGCAGTACATCAGGATCAAGGATAATATTGGTCATCCCTGGCCACAAACCCTGGCTGCCGTGTTCTCCCATGGTATACACAGTCACTACACCTTACGTTAAAAATCCTCTGAAGCGCTCCGAGATGTCTCGACGAATTGAAACTCGTTGGATGAAATGCAAGGATTATTGTTAGACTTGCAATATTCCTTTAAGGTTATTATAATTAACACTAACTGTGAACGTGGCAAATTTCACCTCTTGTCTTTGCACTGGGGGGAACGTGACAGGGTCCCGGAGCAGATCGACACCCGCCGGGGGGTATTTATTCTCTCCCCTGGGGGGAGGGATTGGGAGAGGAGGAGGGAAGGAAATGTGAATACTGCTAAATGTGATGAAATAAAACATTCATCCACAATACGTGCAAGAGCTGTGTTTCTCTATTCCCCACCGCACCAAACCCACCCCTCCACCCACCGAACCTGTGAGTCTTGGCAGAAAGCGGTGGGTGGGGGGGGGGGGGTGGGGGCAGGTGAACAGCAACTGAGAACCAGGAGGGGGCTCCACTGTTCTCTTCTCAGACAGTCTGTCCTGGTGGCCACGTTGCCCAGAAAGCAACTGGTAACTGACTCGGAGCCAATGTCTCCATTTGGGGGGTTGGGGCAGAGGGAGGGGAGGCGGGGGATTCGAGAGGAACTACACTGTTACCAATAATTTATTCCAATTGCTGTTTCTGCCTTTCACGTCAAGCCACAACGCTGAATTTATTTGAAACGACAGAAAGGAATGTGTGCGCGTGACGCATTTTATTTAAAAAGATCGTTGTTTGTGTTTTTAAAAGCGGGACTTTTCATTTCTAAACGATGCAAATAAAATGCGATGAAACTGAAAGAACGGCTTTTGTTGGCGTACCACTCACTGTCGCGGGTCGATAAACAACAACAGCTTGCACTTATGCAGCTCCCTGCGCACTCGGTCGGGTCTCGGTGCGCTTAGATGCAAAACGCAGAAGAAACACACAAATGAGGAGAAATTTACAACACACGGATGGAGGCCGTTCGTTCAGTCCGTCCTCTCTCCGCTGTGAAGAGGGACGATCGCACAGACTCAAATGAAATTGCAATAAAAGGTCCATCCATCTCACACAGAGCGTCTCACATTGTGATGTCTCGCTACACTTAACGGGCAACCACTGTCAAAATATAGGGACCATTTAGACCTTTACAGTGCGTAAGGAGGCCATTTGGCCCATCGAGTCTGTGGTGATTCTGAACTAGCTTTTAGTTACGTTACGTTCTTGCCCTCTCCTGCCCCACCGCACAACCTCTCCCCACCAACCCCCCCACCCCCCCAGCAAACGTATGTCTTTTCTATGTCTACTGGATAGATATTTATCTAATACCCTCTTAAAAACTAACATGGATTCTCACTCAGCAACGACTCCGGTTTCCTTACTCCAACACGCCTGCTTATGTAGCACAACCAGGTCGTTCGTCGATTGCCGGATCGCATTTCCGGGGCTAATAATCCCTTCAAAATAATAAATAATAATAATAATTTAGTCATTCAATCCAGGACTGTTTGTGGACACTGCTGCGCGCCCACATAATATACAGGTCGATTCACTTGACAGTATATTTTGTGAAGCACTTTGAGACGTCTCGAAGATGTGATAAGGCGCTGTATCAAAGGCAACATTATTAAATTATATTATTATAAAATCCAGTGAAGCAATTTGGGTTAAATCAAATAAAGGTCGATTATTAATTTATTATTATTAACCTCCGGCGGGTGGGTGGGTGGGTGGGTGGGTGGGAGGAGAAAGGAAGGAAAAGAACCTCCTTAGGTGTGGATATCACAATTCCTTTGAATAACACAGGGCTTTTTGCTGATGTGTTTACTGAGAAGTGCAGGGATCAGCATTAGATAAGGGCTGATGCCAAGAACAAAGGGATTGACAAGGTAGTCACTTGCTCTGGGAGTTCCCACATTAGTAATGCATGATGTCCTCACTGCACCTCTTGAGAGGAGGGAGTTGAAAAGGCTGCGAAATCTTTGAACTTTCCCAGAACAATAGGAGGTTAACATTTAAGAAAACGGCAAACCATTTTCACAAGGGAGAGCGTGGATAGAGCCCATAGATCACGGGGAGTGCAGTGCTGACGTCCTATTGTGACAAGACAGTGGGAATCAATTAGAAATAGCAGCGAAAGAATGCGTTGAGATACTCAGGGGAAGAATGCTTCTCGATATTGAGTTCCTCCCATTCGGTTCGAGGGGCGAAATTGTTTTTATTCATGTTTTTATTCTTCCCGTTTGGCTCTCGTTAACCTTCACAGCCAAAGTCCTAACGGGTAGGACGGTCCTAGCTGGATAAGCATTCGGAAACCTCTCAGACAGTTTTCGCAATGACAAGTTGTAATAATAATAACAATAATAATATTCCTTTGATCTAACACCTTAACACGTCGTCGAGATGTCTCGAAACACTTCACGAGATTTTACTGTGAAGTGTATCGTCAGCTAATTTGCACACAGCGGCGTCCCACAAACAGCCCTGAAAGGGAATAACCGGTTTTATTTGGGGGATTATTGTCGGCCTGGACACTGGGAGAGAGAAAGTCCCTTCTCTTTTAGCGCCTGTAACAGCCACTTGAACAGGCTGACGGGACGTCAGTTTAACGTCTCATCCGTAGGATAATAACTGGCTGTACAATTTTAACTGTTAAAATCCAGCTGTGGCCACAATTGCACACTCTAGGTTCTGCTGAAGCCTTGGCCAACAGCACAGAAACCATAAAGAAAAAAAAAGCTCGAAATACCTACTGAACACTGAGATAAATCGCACTGGTTTCCCTGAAACGCGAGGGTATTTTTTCTATGCGTGTTAAAGAGTTGGAATGTAAAACTTGCAATTTGTTGTGAGCTCTGCAGCACTTGGCGTGGAGCCAAGGTGTCCCTCCTCTGCCTGTGTTTGTGAATCAAAGACAACGACTGACGAGCTTTCCTTTGAATCAATGATGCCAGGTTTACAGGAAATAGGAACAAACACGAGCCGCACCTGACACCTGGTTTCGCTCGTTACCTCTGAACATACATGGACCCTGAGAGCACACGGCAGAACCATATTCCCCAAACACAACAACAACAACCTCGGGAGGACGCCCCAAGTCGCTGGACGATCAGTGTTTCGGACCCGAGCTGGGGGTCGGGATCGCGGAGGATGGAGGGCGGGAGGGTGACCGAAGCCACGGTTGAAGAGGAGGCTCTTGAGGGCGGGTCTGGAAGGAGGCAAGGGAGGGAGCGAGACGGAGGGACTGTGGGATGGAGTTCTAGAGTGTGGGGGCAGAATGGCTGAAGGCCCGCCCTCCAACAACAACAGTAACTTATAGAATCATAGAATTATACAGCGCAGAAGGAGGCCATTCGGCCCATCGTGTCTGCGTCTTTGAAAAGAGCTTCCCAAATCAATCCCATTCCCCCCCCCCTCCACTCTCCCCATAGCCCTGCAAACCTGTCCTCCCCAAATAATTATCTACTTGCATCCATGTAGCACCGCTCACATGGGTTAGCGTGCGAAACAATGCTAACTATGGACAAGCCCGCATGCTCCAAACCCGGGTGACATTTCAAAGAATTTGACAACTCAACCAGAAAGATAGCAAAATAGTAGCCCCACCCAATTTATATTACAGTGCTCGGATCAAAAACAAGACGAAGCACAGCACCAAAATGACTTAAGGCACTTGACAGCAAATTAATAATTATTAGTGATAAAAATTCTTGCATTTGATACAACGCCTATAACATTGAGACGTCTTAAAGCGCTTCACAAAGTAAAGTGACTGTAAAGTGGCTGTATTTTGGAGGCAAACATGGCAGCCGATTTTGTCCCAGACCCACAACCATGAATGATCAGGTTTATCTGGGGTGGGTGGGAGGCGGGGTATTGTCTATTTTCAAATAGTGTCTCGGGTCTGTTAAACATCTGCCCGAAAAGGACAGATGGTTTAATGTCTCGTGCGAAGGAAGGCTCCCCCTGACACTCAAGCATTGGAGCATCAGCCTGGATTGTGAGCTTAAGTCCCTACGTGGGGCTCCAACTTACAACCTTCTGGCCCAGAGGCGAGTGAAATTATTGACAACAGCAACGACAAATTACACTTGTAGAGCTCCCTTCATGCCGGAAAGACATTCCAGGGCGCTGGACAGTCGGAGTTTTTTGGACCTGAGCTGGAGTTGGAGTCAGGGGGCAGGGGGGATGAGGTGGGTGGGTGGGTGGCTGAAGGCAAGGGCGAAGAACAAGATCTTTAGACGGGACTTGAATGAGGCAAGAAAGGGGTTAAAGTGGAGGGATTGCGAGATAGAATTCCAGAGAGTGTGTGTGTGTGCGTGCGGGAACCCAGACTCTCGGTGATCTGATGAAGAGCACAAGGTTGATCCTGACCAGTTATGTGTGGGAGGGGGAGGGGGTGGTGTGTAGTTGGAGAGAGGGAAATGCATCATTGCTGTCTAACAGCTCATTGATTACGGTGCCTCTGTAGGAATGTTCTCTCTGACCTCCAGACTGGCTCTTTGTGGATCCTGGTTTAAGAGATCAAAGCAGAAGACTTGAACACTCTGCCAAAGGCGAAGGACTATATCTCTCTCTGGAGCAGCCTCAGTGAGCCACACTGTTATCGTCTGCTGCTGACATCAGCCCATTGGCATTCACCCAGACCTGAAGCTTGTGTGGAAACTGGTTAATAATACGCGTGTGTATAGGATGTGAATGGGACAATTACATGGGCAATTTTCCGGGTTACTTCACCTACAGGACCAGCAATGAGGGTGGCTGCGAGCTGATAGTGTCAGCCTGGCTCGCCCGGTAGCTCTCTCATCTCTGGGCCATAGGGTTGTGGCTTCTCACTTGTGGTTAAGGGTAGCGGAAATCTGGAACTCTCTCCCGCAAAAGGCTGTGGGTGTTGGATCAATTGAAATTTTCACAGCTGAGGTGGATAGATTTTTGTTAGATTAGGGTGTCAAGGGATATGGGGCAAAAGGTGGGTTATTGGAGTTGAGGTAAAGATCAGTCACGATCTAATAAAATGGCAGAACAGGCACAAGGGGCTGAATAGGAGTAGTCCTGTTCCTATGTTTCCATGTTCGAATTAGGGACCTGTTTTATTTGTTTTTTTTAAACTCTCTCTCTCTCTACATATATATATATATATATTTGACAAAGTGCCGATGATCTCCATGTAGGAAACAGCTACATCAGATTCAAGGCCTCAGGACTCGGGACAAAACTATAGCGGAGGGCGGGGGAAGACGAGAAACAGAAAGCTGACAAAACACAGCCAACATTTCCTCGAATCTCAGGAGTTGCACAACGTTATTCGTGGATACAGCATTTCAATCTATTTTGCCCATTGTACA